GACCCTCCCTTGTGCTACTAATGTCTTCCTTTTTAGTGTTTGATGCCAAAGGGGGAGAATTTGAAGGACCAAAAGCAAGCATCAAGTTGATGTCTACAAGTGGTAATGGTCCGAGAAAGGGAGGAAAGTGAATTATGGATTAGTCTATGTAATGGGAGAATATTTTTTTTAGAAAGATAGGCTTTAATCCATAATATCACATGGGGACATTTGCAAGGGCAAGACATGCTTTTAAGTAAAGTTTTAATTGATATCTATCAATTAGTATCATATAACCTTGTCCTTTGCATTGCATCCTAGCAAGTAGATAATTTTTAAATTTAAAATTTTTATCATTTGCTTGCTTTGGTCGTGTTGTCATCAATCACCAAAAATGGGGAGATTGTAAGAAAAATGGACCCTTGGCCCATTTACTTTGGATTTTGGTGTTTGATGACCAACACAACCGAATTGGACTAATGAATTTGCAAGTGTTTGTTTTTGTAGTCCAAAAGGGTGCAAGACATGACTTGGATGAAGGTGACGTGATGATCTGATAATCAACACCTCAAACAAGACCTTAGAAGCACAAGAAAAGACCCAAGATGTCAAGCAAAGTCCAAGCATGAAGATAGGAACCAAGCCGTGCGCAAGATCGCGAAGAAACGAGCTCGCAGAGGCGACCGGACGCTGGAAGCGCGACCGGACGCTGGACCGGTGGCTCGGCAGACAGGTGACCGGACGCTGGCGGCAACCGACCGGACGCAGGAACGCAGCGTCCGATCGAGTACAGAGAGGTTCCAGGCGCGCAAAACTGCGACCGAACGCGTCCGGTGGCAGGCGACCGGACGCTGGCAGCGTCCGATCGGTAGTTCGTGGCTACAACGGTCGGGACGACCGGACACGTCCGGTCAGGACGATTCAGCGTCCGGTCAGTAGCAGATTTGCGGGAGTTTGACCCCAACGGCTACTTTCTCAGTGGAGCTTATAAATACAACCCCCAACCGGCCATTTGAGTGGTGTGGAGCTAAGGAAACATATCAAGAGTGTTGATACACCATTTGAGTGATCTCCACATGCATAGTGCTTAGTGTTTTATTAGGTGATTTGAGTGCTTTGCGAAGTGCTTAGGTTGATTAGACCACCGCTTATGCGCTTGCTCTAGGTGTTTGCCTAGTGTTTAAGTGAGGTTTGCATACCTCTTGCCACCCCATGCTTGCGAGCACAAGAGTTGTACATCGGAGGGGCTTGAAGTCTTGCGAGATCGCACCAACCGCGTTTGTGGTGCGGCCGCCACCGTGTACCGAAGGGAACAAGGCCCGCGGCGTTTCGGCCGAAAGCTTGATAGTGAAGACGGCGGGGAGCATCCGGGAGAGGCTTGCCGGAAGGCACATCGGAGACCCATTTGCGCGTGGGGAAGGCCCGAGGCTATCCACGGAGTTACCCGACCGGGAGCTTGGCCCTTGCGAGGGATTCCTTGCGAGGGGCTCCAACGAGGACTAGGGGAAAGCTTGCGCGCTTCTCGATACCTCGGTAAAAATACCGGAGTCGTCGACGGGAGTTTGCATATCTCTACCTCGCTCTTTAAGCTTCCGCATTTACATTGATCATATTATTATCATTTGCGGTAGAGATAGCAACACACTAGCAAAACCGTAGTTGATCATCTAGATAGATTATCTTTTGCATAGGTTTTGCTAGAGGTAGAAAAAGAGGCCATAGTTTAGAGTTAGATTTTTAAGTTGCCTAATTCACCCCCCCTCTTAGGCGTCCACGTGTCCTTCAGACCGCCGCAAAGCAACAGTGGCTGGCTCGCCACGCCTCCAGCCGCCCAGCTCACGAGGCCCCAGCCCGCCACTGACGGACGCCGGACGTCCTCCCCTGCTCCGCATCAAGGCCCTGTGCTGCTATGCAGCCGTTGCCGCCGCCCGCGTCACGTGATTCCACAAGTGCTAGCTGCAGATTGCTCCTAATCTCAACAGAAGGAAATTAGAAAACGAAATCTTTAATTTTTTACTATGAATAATGGATCTGACCTTGGTGTCCTCACCTTGCCACGGCCGAGGGACTCGAGCTAGGAGCTTGGGACAGGGAGGGACAGAGTGGGCCGACGGCCGAGGGCGAGCCGGCGAGCGCGTGGCCGGCGTAGAGCCACGGCGCGTCGGGTTCGACGCGTGGGGCGCGGCTGGGCTCGCGCGGGCAGGGCTCACAGCCGGCCGCCGGAGCTCGAGCAGCCTGGGCTCAGGGCCAGCCATGGCGGACGCGGCCAGAGGAAGAGGCTCGCGCGACGGCCATGGCCCAGTAGGGATTCGAGATCTCCTCCACTGAGAAGACGCGCTCGATGCCGCCGCAGCCCCGCGCAACCCTAGCCTAGGTGGCCTGGTGGTCGGCGCCCGACGGCCTATGGCTGGCTCCCTGCGACCTGCGGCCTGTGGCCAGGCGGCCGATGTCGGGAGAGGAGGAGTAGCACCACGTGAGGAGTGGAACGCGAGTTGGGAGAGGAGTCGCGCGCATCGTGCGTGGGGGAGAGATCGAGAAGAGTCATGCGTGGGGCAGACAGGCGTTCATTGGCGGCGGCGGTGTGGAGCGTGGGGGAGTCGCGCGTGGGGCGCGTTTGAAGCCCGCGTGCGTGGTATGTAGGGTGCGGGGGCGAGAAGCCTGGCATCCCACATCGAATCATGGCCATCGGATTTGATTTAGGTATTTTATTAGCCCTTATTTTAATGGAGATGAATTCATGTGTGCATTTTTTTAGGTACACAATGGTTAGAGGCTCTCAGTGGGGGACGTTTTCCTCGGGGAACCTAGTATAACTTTAATTGGTCCATTATAGTAGAGATAAAAGCATTTATCTTGAAACAAATTTCAAATGTTATAAATACACTTATTTTGAAATAGAGGGAGTATAGGTGTACGCTATAGGCTAAAAGTTGTATTGGCACACAGCACACTGACGATTTAAATTAGGATTTCACCAATCAAACACCAGGTTGTCCGAGCTTCAGACCTTCAAATTGATTCGACTGGGATAGCACTGGAATCTTACTAGGGCGTAGCTAGCGCCTGGACGTCCAAACACCCGCTCCTACCAACCTCATCAGGTATATCTTGCGCGCATGCCGCACCTGCTCGCTGCTTTTGTCGATGCTCATGCGCCACCGCCTGCGGCCTGCGCACTTACTACGCCTCCCTACACCCCATCGCTTGCTTTGCATGCGCTTTCTTCTTGCTACACTACATCGCATGGCTTGCCTCATCGCTTACACATGTTGCATGTTGTCGCTACCACGCCATGCATCATGCATGCATGGGGGACCGCCATGCCCTCTCACTTCGCTTTCAGCATGCGGGGGACCGCCTTGCTTCCCTTGCTTGCTAATGGAAACACTTGCAACATAAAAAGCACTTGATGCAACATACATCTAAAATAGGTGAAACATTTAGAACATATGCGCATGTATAGCCACTGCAACATACGCAACATTTAGATAAAACACTTACAACATACGTCTGAAACAGGTGAAAGATTTGGAGCATACATTTGTAACATATGTGTGAAAACAATGCAACGTCAAGATAGAACATTTGCAACTTGCAACATGAAAACACTTGCTGCAACAGAAGACTGAAACAGATGAAATATTTTGGAACATATTGTTGAAACATGTGTGAAAACATACGCAACATCTAAATAAAAAACGCTTGCAACATACGTCTGGAACACAGATGAAATAGTTTGAACAAACACTTGCAACATGCCTCTAAAACACTTGCAACATATGCAACTTGTGCAACATCCCCCGATCTACTTTGCAACATCTATATGAAATGATTGCAACATGCCTCTATGAAACGTCTGAAACAATTAAAACGTATATTTGCAACATAGGGGGAGAGAGGCTTGTGCCGGTCGATCCCGGCCAACGAGGTGGGATCAGGTGGCGGCGGTACATGTGCCATGAGACCACCCAAAGACCAAATGACGACACAGGAGACCACCACCAAGCCAGCTGCTAATGGCACCGGGCTTAGCTCGGCGGCGGAGGTGGGGGATGAGGGCGGGGAATGCCATGGCCGCGGGGTGGGGGGAGCTCGGTCGCCGAGGTGAGAGAGGGCGCCACGCCAGGGTGGGGGAGAGCCGCCGACTTCCCTGCAACACCGCTGCACCATCACCATGGATCTCGCTCGTGCTCCATGGATCTCGTCGGAGTCAGGGAGAGGGCTACTCGATCCGAGCGTTGGGTGCTCCCGGTGGGTGAGAACGCCGTGGTGGGGGGAGTAGCCGCCAAGGTGGGTGAGGGTGCCACCGCCGGCGAGAAGCAACCATAGCCGCGCGTCGGGGTGAGACAGGGCGCGAGCGCAGAAGGGATAAGGATGGGGAGGATGAAACAAGGGATAAGATCTTTTTGGATGCGGGAGTGAGCAGAGGCATACATCCAACGTCTTAATTGTATCATAATCGATCTTACTACCTCCTACCAAAGCTGACTACCACAAGCTGCATTATTTGACCTCATTATAACGTGTTATGGTCCCACGAACCAATTGGCGCCATTTCTCGTAGAAATAACCCGCAACTGAAGAACCTGACAGAGATTGCCCTGAAAGGCCGGCCTCACCTGACAACTGAAACATGATGATGCAATTGCAAGAATCACTTTCTGCATTTGACAACTGCTCCATCCATACATACATCCATGAACAAGAATCATACATCAGAATATGCATCAGATGAAGGCCTATATCTTTTTTGCCATAACCATGATACCCCACTGACATATATAGCGTCAAATTACCCTAAACCATCATAAAGACCCAAATCGTATCAAGCAAGATGATAGAACAGATAGAACAAGTTCTACTTACATTCAGTGTATAGCTCCCTATATAAATTAGCCTCCTCGGCACCCAGTTGCTTCGAAACTCTTAAAAAAAAGCACAACAGCACCAGAGGCCCAGGGCTCAGCACTAGTAGAAGTAGCAAATACATACATAAAACAATTGGCAGACGGGCTCGACTGTCACTTTACATGGGAGTCGTAGACGTCAAACACAGATTCTGGGATGACGGTGGGCAACTTGTCTATGTACGTGAAGAGTCGCCTCAGGTTCTCTCTTCGGACTGTCGCCACATCAACGATGTCCTTGTTATCTGTGTATACCCACAGGTCAGCAGAGTTTACCCTCTTGAGGCTGTCGCGGCAGAACGGACAGGACTGGGATCTTAACCTCCTGCAGCAACAACATTACCCACTTAGAACAATGAGATTATATGGGGTCATCGAAGAAAGAAGAAATTCAGTGGAAGAATCTAAAAGATATCTAGTGATGGTCAGATTGACAGTCTGATACTAACAAACTGCATGCTAGTTCTGCATCGACATGTTAATAACACACACAATGGATGACCATTGTCCTTATTTGGCTTGATGTAACATCACAGGACTGTTTGGTTAGCAACCATATTTGCCATGCCTAACTTTAGCCCTAAAAAAAATCAATAGAAGAATCAGAAAGATATCTTTTGTAGGCTAAGATAGTGATGGCAAAGGCTGACATCAACAAACTACATGCTAATTCTGCACTCAAATGTTAATAGCACACAGAGAGAATGACCATTGCCCTTACTTGGATTGATGTATAATATCAATTCCAAATACAAAAAAAAAAAAAACAGTTTCAGCAGACAGCAGGCATAGAAATGAATATTAGTTCTTGAAGAGTCCATGAACAGAACTAGTATCAAACTATTGTTATATGGAAATGAACTGATAGGCAAGTCCCTAGTCCCAGCTAATCTAGTATTCACATTTTCACAAAAAATCACATGAATTAATTAGGTTTTGTACTGTTTCAGAACAATGGATAAGCCTACATCCATAGTTCCAAACAAAAAGACGATGACATGGTATGTTCTAACTTGCAAGCAAACAAGCCCAGTTGAGATCTCAAGGCAAGCGCTCCAGAGTAACCGACACATAGGAACACCATTAGATCATATAGACCACTCGTAAGAATTTAGGCCTTAACTCAGTTGGTAGTATCCTTAAATTCAGGCATAACCGAGTGTTCAAGAGAAGTCCACAATACATGGATCTTGGTCTCCTTCAGACTCACCTGTTGCTGTTAACCTGTTGTTACAACCAGCTCCTTATATTGACACTTTATTATTGAAGTTACATTACATGTTCAGGCTATTATTCAAGTCTCAGTGCCCATTCCTGAATTCTGGTCTCGTGGTAAAATGTGTACAGATAAAGAACTTAAAAAAGAGTAGAGAATGAAGTGATGAACAGTACAGCTTCAAGTTCTGCCCCAAAACTTCTACTCCATATGACATAAGATTATGATCATTGCATCAAGAGCTAGTAAACATCGAAGAGCAAGAATGGCAGCTGATATTAGTTAGCTGTAGAAGAGATTTTTAGCAAGCTTTTCCCATTACAGTTTGTTGCCAAACTAATCTCATGTGAAGATCTACCAATACCTTATGGAACACAGCAGCAAAAGAATGAAGGTCACAACAGCTAACGAAGCAAAATGGCAGTTATGGACTTACGGTCATGATTTAGGGTCAATGGTTCATAAGGGTAAATTGATCCTGTATGTAATGTGAAGGTCAGGGCAAGCAAAAAAATGACCAGCTCATTACTAACAAATCCATAAATTTATGAAAAATCCATCTTATATACATGTATCCAAACATTATTGTATCAAGCTAGAAATTATTTCACACGCTGAAGGCGCAGTATTTCATCTCGAGCATGCAGGAGCGCATAATTGTCAGAACAACATAATAATTAAAAATATCCCAAAATCTCTAGAAACAGGAGGCAGATTTGTACCAGTCGCGGTAGCATTTAATGCACATAGCGTGGCTACAAGTTGGAAGAACAACTTTGCTGTTTATCTCCATGCATATGCCACATTCCTCCTCTATATTATCATCAATCTCTGATATCACAGTTTTCTGATCCTCATCTCGTCTTCTGTACCTCTCTAGACATATTGCTTTCTGTTTTTTATCCTCCACTTCGTTGATTCCTTCATGTAATTGCATCAAGGAGGGAAATATGACAGCTGCCAAAAACAACTGAGCTAATGAACAACAGAGTAAGGATAATAAATGTGCAAAGAAAATACATTCAAAAGGTTCTCAAAGGTACGCACTATACCATAAAATTCCCTGATGTTTGCTTTTCTTTCATGAGTACACATGGTGGTTGTCCCATCAGCGTAAACCTGCACATTTAATATAATTGTGACATTAACTGAAGTGCTGAGCCACCATTAGAAATTAGAGAAGGGGAGAAACTTGGTTCTAACACAGGAATGTTGGTCAACCTTATAAATTAGAATCCTCAACAGCCCAAGTGCACCAGCAAGGTTGCAGTCTGTCCACTGCACAAGAAAAAGGAAAAAGTGGGCAGCAGGGCAGTATGCCATCCTCATCTGAAGGCAGGCGCCATCGTATTCCCTCCGAAATTCAGAAGCACTGCATTTTTACAAACTAGCAATGAATTCTTGGTAATGTACTGAAGACGGGGGGGGGGGGGGGGGGGGGGGGAGGGGACCTAAATGATGACTTGCCAGGCCAACTAGGCCGTGAAATAAACCATGAATAGTAGTTAAATTCATCATTACAGCCTTGTTAGCCAAATGATATTAGCTCTCATGGTGCCTTGTATGTTTGCAGACATAAGATTGCATCACAATTACCAAAGGATAATAAAATCAATGATGCCACTAATTGAGAGACAACAGATGCCACAAAGGCGGAAGCGCAAGACACTGGCGAAGAGGAAATTCTCCCAGTGCTATAACTAAAATATATTTCTTCCAGGCTAAAAGAAGACGAATTTGACACAGCAACAAGAGGAATTCCGAGATGGCAACTCAAAAAGGCTCCCACATTGCAGAGCTTCACCAACAAAAGGAGATTTGGCCAAAAAAGTAACAGATATGCTGACAGGTGGTAGTGTGAGAAGCTACTGGCAGCAAACTTTAGTCATTTAGGTAGCGTTTGGTTGGAAGTCAAGGTGGGGTGGGACGGTCCCGTCTCTGGTTTTTGGGATGGGACGAGGACGGGACGACTCCAGTTTCTGTTTAGTTGAAGAGGGATGGGACAAACCCATTTTCTGTTTGGTTTGGGGACATCACAAGTGGGATCACCCACTGACACGTGGAGTCCAATTGTCAGCTTTTTTTTTCTGTTTTTTTCTTTTCTTCCTCCCCACCGGAATTTCCGGGCGGAATTTCCGGCCGCGCTCTGAGGGAATTTCTGCGGCTCCGCCCTCTCCCGGCCGCCTGCTCGCCCGCGCTCTGCCGGCCTCCAGAGGCCGCAGCCTCGCCCCCATCCTCCCCCATCCGTCGGAGGCCGCCGCTCGCTCGTCTCACCCCCGTCCCGTGCGGCCCTAGCACCCGTCTCACTGCTCCCGCTCCCGCGCGCGGCCCCAGCGGGCGGCCCCGCGCAGCCTCGCGCCGCAGCCCGCATCCGGACCGGAGCCCTCGCGCTGCCGCCACGCACAGCCCCTCGCGCCGCCGCAACTGGAGCCCTTTCGCCGCCGCAACCGGACCGGCGAGCAGCGACCGAAGCCCTTGCCCGCGACCCCGTCCGAGCCCGGCGTCACCTCCTCTTCTTCCTCGCAGTCGCCAGCCAGCGGCTCGTCCCACCTGGGGCGTCCCCGTCCGTGAAATTGTGTGTGTGTGTGTGTGTGTGTGTGTGTGTGTATATAAAGTTGAAGAACCAAACCGAGGGCGACTACTAGCCGTGTCCAATCTAGTATCACAATCAACAACGCATCATATCTAATCTAGATATTTTGGTTGGGACCAAGGAACCAAAAGGTGACTACTAGCCGTGTCCCATGATCTAATTTCTAACCCATTATTAGATTCCAGACCTGAAATAACCCAAGCAACTCTGTCCTAAAACAAATCAACAGAGCAATTCCGCGGCTAGGTACTAGCACCCAGTGTCCGAGCTCAAAATACCTGGAATAGGCACCGGTCAAAGGACAGTAACAGACGATCTCTGTCCTCTCAGCTGAACAAGTGAGCGAACAGTGAACAGGACGCGAGAAGAAAGGCGAGCTTCACTACTACTCACATCGAGTTGGCGTGCTGGATGTCGGCCTCGAGCACCTTGAGCGAGTCCCTGAACGACCTTCCCATGAACACCACCTCCGGGAGCGCTCCGCCTCCACCTCCAGCACCGCGACCATCCAAGCCCCGGGCGGCCTCCTCCCCTGCTCCCGCCGCGCAAAACCTCACCCAAACCCAAACCCTAGCGGCCTAGGCGACCGCGCTCCGCTCCTCCCGATCCGCGCCTGCCCAATCCACTCCACGCCGCGGGGGTCGGGTCGCGCTCCGGTAAACGGCACGGGCGGGCGGCTCGAGTGGCGGTGGTTAGCGGCGCGGCCATTTAAAGCTCTGGCCCCTCTCGCTTTCGTCCCGGGTGCCTTGAGTGCACGGGAGGGAGCGCGGGGGCAGGGGTACAGTGACGCCGCCAACGCCACTGACGCGTGGGGGCGGGCGAGGAAGACCCACCTGCCGGTGACGGTGCGTAGGTGCCGGTGGGGTCGTGGTGGGGTCCCGGAGGGGTGCCACGTACATTTCTGCAAGGTGCGGTGTGGTCGCTGGCTGGGCATGTCCGTTTTGGTTTCGTCCCTACCCGGTTTGAAGCTCCGTTCACTTGCTGATAAGTCACACTAAAAGTATCGTTATTTAGAGAAAAATACTATTTATTGATTGAAAAAATATAATTTATAAGTTAAGTGAACAGAACGAAAGTCGTTTATATGGGCCAAAGTACACGTCATCATGCTGTACGGGGGGCGATTTGTAAGATAAATCATGTGTTAGGACGGCACAGATGAACAGACCTGCTGCTTCGGTTACGTTCGCTTCTCTTATGATCCATATTTTTTTAGCTTAGCTTGTTTTTTTAGTCGAAACAACGTTTTTTCTCTCATAACAAATCAGCTGTTTCGGTTTGTTTTTTCAGCGAACGGAGCCATCTTCCCTACTTGTTTGGTACTTTCTGGACGCAGCCTCCGTCCATCGAGATGGTCAATAAGATGTGTAATTCTGTGGTTCAGATAGACTTGTTTAAAACCACTGCCATGACAGATGTTAGGTATGTAGTAGTACATATCTGTTGATTGCTGAATACCTAACACATGAATACATGATCCGAGAGGATACTATTTTCTAGTGGAGTTTGCATCTGTGCATGAAAAATAAGAGGAGGTAATGTGAAACACAAGTGACAAGATTTGCCCCCTGCTATCTTAGCATGAAGCATGATGGATGAAATCATGAGAGCTGCATGCTTCTACCCAGTGAAACACATCTTTCTTTCACTCCAAATGTCCATCCACTGGGCTCCATTGTCAGCTGAGCAGATTACCAAACACTGACACACACACTACAATGTCCATCCACCGGGCCCCGTTCGCTTCGCTGAAAAAACAAGCCGAAACACTCTCCGGCTGATTTGTTGTGAGAGAAAAACACTGTTCCGACTAAAAAAACAAGCTGAAAAGTACGGATTATAAGACAAGCGAACAGGACCAAACTAGGGGAAATGTTTTACTTTTACATATGAATTGCCATTCCAGATAACAGTATGCATTCCAATGTTCAACGCTGGACAACTGCCCTTCAAGATGGGGTCAGGTGAAAACAGACAATCGTGTGCATATCGTTACAGTTTTGACTAAGATCTATATCAAGATCACAACAATAGCTTAAGCTAAATTCAGGAATAACGTGGAGGATCAACAAGACGGGAACACTTCAACATGAGGCTTTAAATCGAGCCTCGTCAGGCACCTTCTATCTTGATTCTGCCTCTTTTATTGCACGGATAAGATGGGTCATGCGGTACTGGAGCTTCTCGTTCTCCACGATTAGCTTCTTGTTCTACAAGGTTCATGAGGCAAGGTGTGGTTATGTAGATATGAGAATATGAGATACCCACAGTTGTATGATTGTGACGGTTTCAAGCTAAGTGATCAATTACCTTCTCTTTTTCAGTCAAGCATTCTGCAGTAACCGCATCCAGCTTTGACTGAAGATCCTTCACGGCAGAGGAAGTTGCCTCAGATCCACCGCTCAGACCATCTAGCAAATTAATCATGTAAAGAAGGAATTAGGCACTTCCCTGGCCTCTCATGAACAGGGACACGCTTGGAACAGCAAAACATATGAAATTACCTTTGTTGTACAGCAAGGCTTCCAGCTTTGCTATGCGTATCTGTGGGATGAACGGAAGAAACCATAAAATTAGGAAAGGTAGCATTGAGACAAACCACCTGTACAAATTAAGCATTCGTGTAACCACTCTGACCAAGCAAGACAAGATTGCCACAGGCTTCCATGTGGCTGGTCAATACATATACATCACATCACGATAACTTCTGATAAAGGATAATAAGAGATAGCAGCCCACAAAGTACAGCTTAGACCAGTAGTTATCCACAGACCATAGCCGGCGTGGTCACTGGGTAGGTGATATAGCAATTTAAGAGAAAATGGTCCATGGTAGCCCCTCCTAGCCTGGTAGGTAATACTCCAGTAGAAGAACATGCTAGGTTGCTATTTATTTACTAAGTCAGGCACTTGTGCTGGCAGTATGGGTGGAAAATCTTCAGCGGTAGTACAAAGGAAGGACCAAGATGTTTCTTTAAGGACAAAGGAGGGAGATCTGACAGGGAAGAAATAAAACAAGCAAATAAGAACATAGAAATCTGTAGCCAGGCAGTTGAAACAATGTTACATGACAATAGTAGAAATGGCCTTCAGAATTCGAAGCATTATGTCCTCTCACGCTTTTGAGGCCACGTCTAACGCGCCCATAGGTTTTATGTTGGAATACCCTGCGACTTCTAGCTTTCCAAGCAACCCAAATCATGCAGATAGCACGGAAGTTACCAAAATTTGTAAGTCTGTAAAACAGTTGGCTTCCTCTACAGCTAGAAGCCTGGGAACACATTATCTTGTAAATTCGAGCAGAATAAGAGCTAATGCTTTGAAAAATTGTTCTTTTTTTTTTTGAAAAAAACACTTGTAAAATTGTTCTTTGCTTGCCCTGGCATTACACTGGACGCATCGTCTACTTGGGACCTAGGTGTACTTACAAGTTACAACTCTATGCAATTAGGCAGGACCTCAGGAGTGAAAGTGGGGGTTATGAAGCATTCGTTTCATTTGGGTTCACAAATCTGAAATCTCGTGTATGGTCTTATGGATTAGATTCTGACTATAAATAGCACAGAAAGACCATCCAAAAAATCGGCATGTTTTGCTCATAATTCCTCACCAATCTGTTTTATCTGCCCCAACAAACACCATGAATTAGAAAGAAAGAAAAAATAGCATCCCACTACACCAGTCAACATTCAACAGTGACTAGCTGCTTCGAAACCAAACCCACCAATTCCTGAGAATAGGAGACGAACTAGACAACTGCTGCCGATTAAGAGTCCCGATTAAGAGTTGTCTAATCTAAAGAAGGACCACCGGAAATCACAAGTGGTCAGGAGCTCGGGAGAAAAACGAATCGAACGAACCTCAGCCTCGGAGGCTCTTTCCTGGAAGGGCTTGAGGGCCTCGTCCAGCGCCGACGTCGCGGGGCCGCCGTCCGCCGCCATGCTCGCCGTCGGTCGCTTGAGCCCTCGGATTCGGACGAGTCTTCGAGTTGGTCAAGGGATTTCAGTGGGTGTCTGGGCACTGGAGTCTGGAAGACGATAAAGAACTCACGGGCCTAATTCTGCTACTGCTCAAGAAGCCCATCAAGGCCCACCTGGATTGGCCGTTGTAAGACTAGCCACAGTGTTGGTTTTTGAGCCTTTTACTTTTGAGCCATTATAAAACATCGTAATTCCTTCGCGCGCCACTAAAAAAAGTTTGGCGGACTTCAATGACAATGCTCCAAATCTTTTTTTTGTCCTTCACGGCACTTGCGTCAGATTTGGCTCCAACGGTGTCAAACTGCATGTGTGAAAAGTCAAAAATACCTTTAGATCTAAATATGCCATTAATTTTTTTGAGCATCTTAACACCTTCAAATGAAAACCTCAAAACTAAAAATTTATAGATCTCATCGCGATCTATAATTTTTATATAAAAATTATCTTCATTGAATTTCGTACAAAAAAAATATGATTTTTCTAAGACATGTTAATCATACCAAAGTATATCTTTTTTGTGCGGAATTAAATGACGATAATTTTTATATGAAAATTGTAGATCTCGTCTCGATGAGACCTACAACTTTGTAATTTTGAGTTTTTTCATTTGAAGTCGTTAAGATGCTAAAAAAATAATGACATATTTAGACTTAAGGTTATTTTTTACTTTTCACATCTGTAGTTTAACACCGTTAAAGCCAAATTTGATAGAAATGACGTGGAGTGCAAAAAAAAGTTTAGAACAGTGTTGTTGAAGTTCACCAAACTTTTTTAGTGGCGCAGAGGGAAATAGTAGAATATTGAACCATCGAGTCATGCCATATGTGGACGGATGCTGAAACAAGAAAATGCAAGCATCGAGTAGTGTTCTTGCTGGATGTGTGAAGGCAGGAAAGTAAGTAGCTCTGAAGTTCTTACAATTTTGGTCCCACATGCACTCAAGCATCGATCCATCACTTTTGGGTATCGGCATGAACAGAGTACGGAGATTCCTTTCGGCACGGCCAGATTGTGCCCAGTGTAGCATAGGTGAAGATTTAAAACATTGGTTGTAATTAGTATCTAGCACATTATATAATTTGTAATTTGGCTCCCAAGTTGCAACCTACAAAGATCTACGTAAAAATGTGCTCACTCCGCTGTAAATTATAATTTACTTAGTTTTATCATAAGTTAGACTTTTCTAAATTTGACGAATCCAAAATAAATTATATTTTAGAGATCATTTAATGGAACTAGGCTAAAATGAACTAGTATATATAATTTAGAAAAGTGATAGAAAAACACAAAGGACCACTCAATCCCAAGACCTCGAACCATAGAATCCCTACACGAAAAATCTGCCGGCGATGAAGAAGAAATGTGGAGGAAGATATAGAAAACGAGATGGGTGGATAAGGAGTAGAGAACCACAACGATCACAGAGAACATAAGAGATTTTTTCATAGTCGATAGGCCATGCCAATTGCTGTAGGCCAAATTTTGCAAGGGTAGCTCATCTATACGCATTGACTAATCGAGAGTCAACATGGTTCGTGTGTCTAGAACTCAAAACAATGTTTTTTTGACGGGAAAACAATGGTTTTAATGTTGTATACAGTGTCTGTGCTAGGCTAGTCTATCTGAATCTTCAATTTAAAATAGCAATTCAAGGGATTTAGTTTTGTTAACCATCGAATTATGGTGATTTTATAGGCTATACGCTTATATGAAATATGCATAATTTATCTTGATAGAATTCACAAGGGCTGTTGTATATAGATGAAACTATTTGGAGTTGACAATTTTATCACAGATGGGGACAACCAGACGCACGAACTATATAAAACCTAAACATAAATAGAAAAATACTAAGTGCAAATCACATTCCAGTGGTATCATGAAAACTCCTAGAAAACCATACTTAAGAGTTTTCAAAATAATGAAACAATGCACATTTATAGTGTATCTACATTGTCGCAAAATTTATAATTCAAAATCAATATAGACAAATTCATATGAAAATAATAAATTTCAGATACATGCACTAGATATTAAAATTTATGGGAAACAGTCTTCTAGCACATATGCACTTGAAATTTGTTATCTTCATATGATTTTTTTTGTAACAAGTGTTTGAATCTCAAATTCTATAGAAATATACATTTGTAGATTTATAAGTATTTGGAAACTTCTAAATACGTTTTTCTAAGAGTATTTTACGATTCGATATTTCGATTCCCAACGTAAATTGCTCCGGTGGAAGCCATTCCTCTTTCCTCTCTTAAAACCCTAGCCCTCGGTGGGTCCACACCCAACCCACCTCCTCCTCTGCCGCCGCCCGCCCGCCAGCCCGCCGGCGAAGCGCGCGGCGAAGAGATGGCGCTGTACCTGCTCTTCGAGTCGGCGTCGGGGTACGCTCTGTTCCACGCGTACGGCATCGATGAGATTGGGCAGAGCGTGGACGCCGTCCGCGCGTCCGTGCTGGACCTGCAGCGCTTCGGCAAGGCCGTCAAACTCACCGGCTTCTCCCCCTTCTCCTCCGCCGTCGACGCGCTCAACCAGTGCAACGCCATCTCCGAAGGTACCATGCTCTCTCGCCCCCGCCTTCTCCCCAATCCACGGCGCCCAACCCGAATGAATTGTGAACGGTGGGTGGGCTGTGCTGTGCAGGGATCATGACCGACGAGCTGAGGAACTTCCTGGAGCTCAACCTGCCCAAGGTGAAGGAGGGAAAGAAGGCCAAGTACAGTCTCGGTGTCACGGAGCCCAAGGTCGGGTCCCACATCACCGAGGCCACGGGGATCCCCTGCCAGAGCAATGAGTTCGTCCAGGAGCTGCTCCGAGGAGTGCGGCTGCACTTCGATCAGTTCATCGACCAACTCAAGGTGATGAATTTCACTTCCAAACTTAGCTCTTCTTTATCTGACATCAGTTTTGTTACTGGTCCAACTGTGGAATATGGAGCGTTGTAAATCCGAAAATCTAATGCTGAGCCATAGGTGACTTGTCGCACATCACATTAGCTGATGAATGCTTGATAAATTTTATTTTCTGGTTAATTTTGCTTGCAGAGCCAAAATTTATGGTTTTCGATGACTTTGGTACTGAGAGTTACACAGTATAGATCCCACAAGCGTCTCATCAGGCCTAACTACTTGTTGCTTATATGTTACATTGCAGGAATCTGACCTGGAGAAGGCTCAGCTAGGCCTGGGGCATAGTTATAGCAGGGCCAAGGTCAAGTTCAATGTGAACCGTGTGGATAATATGGTGATTCAAGCTATCTTTCTGTTGGACACACTCGATAAGGATATCAATTCCTTCTCCATGAGAGTGAGGTTAGCCTAACATTTTCTATTTAGTCAAGCTATTTACCGTCCAGCGCTTCTTCTTAGATGATGTGATGATTTGCTCACCTCGACTCCATTTTTTTAACAGCACCTTGACTTGGTACCAACATACGTTCTGGATAACCCTAAATTTATTTGAATGCCCATGCTCCTTTTGTTTTGTTTGCTTATGCTGCCATGACATTCTGATCTGCAGAAATGTCATTATGGAACATGGTGCCATTTTTTCTTCACTATAGTCTATAGAAGTGTCACTGGAAAGATTATCTAATATCTGCTGTGCTTTAGAGAAAAAAGGAATTTTATTAATGCTGTGCTTTAGAGAAAGGGAGTTTATCATAAGGTCCCGTTTGGATCCTTGGAATTGAATTCATTTTAAGAATCATAATTTAGACACATATTAGTTAAGCTCATATGGTTGTATATATGGATTATATTTGTATATTATTGTTGGCTATACGAGAGAGATACTTATGTGTTGCATTTCTACCGTAGGAGAGCGAGTTGAAGAGCATGTTATAAGTTGCAAATTAGAAACATAGCATGATGATCTATAGAATCAGTTTCCATCTCCCACCCTATGAATTTGAGATAGGCTTATATCTGAACTTTGGAAAGTGGTGGAATGTCAAAGTCCAAGTCAAATAACCTAATTTATTAAGTAGATTTCAATTCCTCCAAATGAAGGGATCCAAACGGCTCCTAAATGTATTTTGTGATAACTTGTTCTTAAATTCTCAACTTTGTAATGCTGAAAACACTTTAGGCCTTGTTTGGATGTTGTCGGATGCACCTCAATCCACATGTGTGGATTGGGGTGGAATTTAGTTCAAGTTCCACTCCAATCCACCTCAACACATGTGGATTGATGCGAATCCGACTACATCCAAACAAGGCCTTAGTGATCTTACAAAATGTTGTCAATGCATGTGTGAAAGATCATGTAACTCATCATGTCGGCATATATACTTGTTGGATCGTTGACATCACGGCAGATCTTACTTCATTGATCATTCTATCTTTTGAATATTATGTGTGATGGTGATGTTGGTTTGGCTGTATTAACATATTACTTAACCATAATGCAGGGAGTGGTATTCGTGGCATTTTCCAGAGCTAGTCAAAATTATAAATGACAATTACCTCTATGCTAAGATTGCCAAGTTTGTGGTAAACAAATCTGATTTAGCAGAAAAAGACATTCCAGCTTTAGCAGATCTAATTGGAGATGAGGATAAGGCGAAAGAAATTGTTGAAGCAGCAAAGGCATCTATGGGTAACAATACATCAACAACTAATTCTGCAATAGTTGAAGTACTGATATCTTTATGTAAGTTGTTAACTTCTTTTTTGCTGTTGTATTTTTCAGGCCAGGATCTTTCACCAGTTGATTTGATCAATGTCCAACAGTTTGCCCAAAGGGTCATGAATCTATCCGAATACCGTAAAAAGCTCTATGAGTATCTCGTAACAAAGATGAATGATATTGCACCCAACCTGACGTCTTTGATTGGTGAAGTTGTTGGAGCTCGACTAATCTCTCATGCTGGCAGTCTTTCCAATCTTGCCAAGTGCGCTGCCTCCACTCTTCAAATACTTGGCGCTGAAAAGGGCACTTTTCAGGTACTTAACAAGCTGTTTATGCATTGTTAGCCTCTTATTGATATCAAAATTATGCTTTGAAGTCCTAACAGTTTGTTACTTGAATCCTGACTTTTGCCTGTTGTCGTAAGTATTAAAACTTCTCCCTTTATGCCTCTGAATTCTTTTTGCTTGTCCTTCTTTATTTAATTGCAGAGCTCTGAAAACTCGTGGAAATACACCAAAGTATGGCCTCATATTCCACTCATCATTCATTGGTCGTGCATCAGCTAAGAACAAGGGTCGAATGGCTCGATACCTGGCAAACAAGTGTTCCATTGCTTCACGCATTGATTGTTATTCAGGTCAGTTGCACAACTTGTTTGCAAACTTTACATATGCTGATATCCTGTTCTGAGATTCCTGACTGTTACTGTTTCGATTCCAGAGTTGAATACATCCATTTTTGGACAGAAGCTGCGTGAACAAGTTGAGGAGAGACTAGACTTCTATGACAAGGGTGTTGCACCTCGTAAGAACCTTGATGTGATGAAAGCTGCCATTGAGGGTATTAATGCGGTTTCGGAGGCTGTTGATGGTAAGGATATGCACCCTCCATCCTTGGTTCCACAAACACTCTACCATATCAAAGTAATTTACACTCATTGTAAAATTTATTTTGCAGGTAATGAGAAGAATGATGTGTCTGCTAAGAAAGGCAAGAAAAAGAAGTCTAAAGCTCAGGCTGAGGGTGAAGCAATGGATGTTGATAAGCTTGCCACTGGAGAAGATGAACGTCAATCTGAGAAGAAAAAGAAGAAGCACAAGCGTGAGGAGCCACAGGATGAAGAGATGGCCACTGAGCCACTCAGTGATGATGTCAAACAAGATGAGACTCCAAAGAAGAAGAAGAAAAAGAAGAACCGTGAGGCATCTGAGGATGTTGAACCTAAGACAGCCACTGAAGGGAAGAAGAAGAAGAAAAAGAAGAATCGTGAGGCATCTGAGGATGTTGAACCTAAGACAGCCACTGAAGGGAAGAAGAAGAAGAAAAAGAAGAACAAAACCGTGGACAGTGATGAGTAGTTATTTAGAATCTCGAATTTAAGTGGTATTTAATGATGTTAATAATCTTGAATCTAATTTATGTACATCAATTGAGCCAATTGGACCTCAAGTAAGCTTTTCACGTGTGGGCAATGCTATCACATGTTATTAGGTCCTTGCTGAGTTTACAATGTAACGAGGAATGGTTCGTCAATTTAATGGTATAGCGGTTGCAATTACATTCATGTATAACCCTTACGACGCATAATGAGTACAGCTGCTGCAAGCCTGAAGTATTTATCTTTGGAAATTCAGGATGGACAGTGATGAGTAGTTATTTAGAATCTCGAATTTAAGTGGTATTTAATGATGTTAATAATCTTGAATCTAATTTATGTACATCAATTAAAGGGCGGGCCTGGTGCAAGCGGTAGAGTCTTACCGCCTGTGACCGGAAGGTTCCGGGTTCGAGTCGTGGTCTCCTCGTATTGCACAGGTGAGGGTAAGGTTTGTCACTGACGCCCTTCCCCAGACTCCGCACAAAGTGGGAGCTCTCTGCACTGGGTACGCCCTTTAATTTATGTACATCAATTGAGCCAATTGGGCCTCAAGTAAGCTTTTCACGTGTGGGCAATGCTATCACATGCTATTAGGTCCTTGCTGAGTTTACAATGTAACGAGGAATGGTTCGTCAATTCAATGGTATAGCGGTTGCAATTACATTCATGTATAACCCTTACAACGCATAACGAGTACAGCTGCTGCAAGCCTGCAGTATTTATCTTTGGAAATTCAGGATGTCAATTGACTTGAGAAAAACTCAAGTATCTCGGATACAGGAACAAGGAAGCATTGAAGAGAAATTTATCACACATCTGAATGTCCTGAAGATATGTGTGCTCGGTATTAAATTTGATATTTGAGTTAGCAACATTGAAAACTTGAAATTATCCTATTGGATGTACGTCACATGGTGCAGCTTCTGGTTAGTGAATATCCAAGAGTGATATATGTTATTTGTTCGGAAATACATTGCCAAAACATCTAACAATGCTACCAATAGATCACTACTACTGTTCTAAAGAAACTGCAAAACTTTATTTACTAGTCATGTCTTCTGATGAGAGGTCTTTCAGAACCTGTTCGACCTCATGAACCACCCCAAGTTTCCTGAACCACGCCGCAAGCAACTGAGAGGGCTCTTGGCCAATTGAAACACCGTTTTCTTCAAGCTCTGTCAAAAATTCCAGTGCTGTTTCTAACATGTTCACCTTCTCATAAACACCCAATACCAAGGCAATACATTTGTCACAAGGTTTGACTCCTGCGCTTCTCATATTACGGATTACACAAACAGCTTCATCGATTCGATTTGAGAGGCAGTAAGCATTCACCAGAAGCGCGCACAACTTCGTGTCAGGCACTATCCCTGCAAACTGTATGGCATCGAAAATCCGGTGCGCTCCATCTGAATCGCCTCTGTATGAATATGCTCTTAGCAATGCCTTGTAAACTTCCTTTCCTGCGAACATCTGCTGGTCCTCCATTTCTTTGATTAAATCTTCTGCTTCCTGCAGCATGTCAGCCCTGATATAAGCCATGATCATTGAACCGTATGCGCGCTTATCCAGTGGAAGACCAAGCAACACGATTTCTCCGAATATTTCCTTTGCGTGGGTCAGATCTCCTGCCTTACTGTACATGTCCATCATTGCAGTCAACATGACCTGATCACAAGGGAAACCTCTGCCTTTCATGGCGGCAAATGCATCCTCAGCTTTCTGCAGTAGCTTCTGCTTGCCATGGATGTGGATCAACTTGGTGTAGTCGCGAACATTTGCTTCGAAAGAATTTTCCAGCAATGCATGCTCCAGTACCTACGAAACATATACCGGACCTTCGTTAAATTACTTGACTCATCAGCTGGTCATGTTAAATTACTAGACTCATAAGCCTATTGCTAACAGAGTAATTGTCACCACCTTAGCAAATTACAGTTAGTGAGGGGATTGTGGGCAAAAGAAGTGGCAATGGTGACCATTTCAAGCTTTCAACCAAGCACAGTAGCTAGTCGAGAACATTTGGTCGAAACACAACACCAAATGATCTAAGTTTCATTATCCGTGAGCACTGTACAACCAACTGTTCGAATCAACTACTTTATAAGAAACATGGAAAATGGTTATTTCACAGTTTCTTTTTTTTTTATCAGAACTTCAGCAAGCACTCCCTAACAGTCATAACAGCACACAATGATTCAGAAGTTCAGAGTTGTAACAGACGACGGGCAGGGTCGTAGGGAGATGCTCTGTGTCACTGACCTCAGTAAGCAGCGGGCTCTCCATGGCCTTCAGTTCCTTGAGAACCAGCAACCAATCCGCCCTCTTGGGCTTCATCGCCTTCACCCAGTACGCTAGCAGCGCGCCAAGGCTCTCGTCCCCGGGGCGCAGGCACACCACGCGCGCCACCAGGGCCTTGCAGCGGTTGGGCAGCTTCGGAGACAGGCCCCGGACCGCCCGCTGCTGCGACTCGATCAGGTCGGACCCGAACGCGTCCCACCTAAACCTTGGCCTGGCCTCGCTCACCGCCGCCTGCTCTGCCTCAGCCTCCGCGGCCAGAGCCGACAACTCCCCGTCATGGCCACCGGACACGCAAGCGCATTGGCAAGCGGGCTTCCGGGGCTTCGTGGGTGTGATGGTGCTGGTGAGCTTGGCTCCCGCCGAGCGCAAGGCCGGGATGGCGAGGGAGGCCATGGGAGTGTCCGAGCAAGGCGGGCGGGACGGCGCCGGAAGGATGAGGAGGCGCTATCCAAAGAGACGATAGATCTGAGCCGTCCGTTGATCGAATATGCCGATCCGACGACCCGTACGATCGCCGTGATGGCTAGGGAATATCCTCACCGTAGATGCCTAATCACACGGGCGCTCGGTGTCCGGCTCGTGCACGACTCTGATAAGTGGGTCCCACACGCGCCAGCGCCGCTAGATATAAATAAGCGGCGGTCGCGACTCGGCCTGCTCCTCTCCGTCTCTAGGGTTTGAGATTTTAGGCGCCGCCGCAGCTCATCTCACCCTCCCCGAGAAGTCGCAGCAGACGACGTAATCCTCGCCGATCCGATGGCCGTCTTTTCCGACCTCCACACCGCCGACGGCCTCAAGACCCTGGAGGCACACCTAGCGGGCAAAACCTATGTTTCAGGGTGAACACTGCTACACTTGTAGCTGATTAGATCTGTTGATTGGTAGCGATTTGCTTAGTTACTCCGATGATGACCGTGATAAGAAACCTTGATGTTTTCGCTTTAAATTCAGCAGATCTCTCTTGTGATGTCGATCGGGTTGTGTTTGCTTATAGTGCTTGTGCTGCTGTCTGTGCAGTGACGCGATTACTAAGGATGACATTAAGGTCTTTGCGGCGGTGCCGTCGAACCCTGGCGCTGAGTTTCCTAATGCTGCCCGCTGGTACGAGACCATCTCTGCGGCTGTAGCCTCAAGGTTCGATTTATTTCACTGATTGCAAATTTGTAATTGTAGTAGATTGATGTCTTTCACTGGTTGCAGATTCAGGTTTGATTTATTTCACTGATTGCAAATTGCAAATTTGTAAGTGTCGTAGATTGATGTCTTTCACTGGTTGCAGATTCCCTGGTAAGGCTGTTGTTGTAAATCTGCCTGCGGGATCAGCTCCTGCAGCAGCTGCTCCTGCTGCTGAGGTTTGTTCTCCCCGTCCTAAGCCATATTGCCCCATCTTTTTTTTTGTTTATATCCATCTGTCTTATTGGTCGAGCAATGAGGCACTGCTGTTCTGTTCGATTTAGCATGGTACAATTTTCAATGATTGCTTAAGAAGAAATTCCAGTCGATCTATGTTTCTGTTTTTTAGATTGTATTATAAGGCCAGTCTCAGCGGAGAGTTTCATTTCGTTGTTTCCAAGACTGCCATGTCATATAAAATGAAATGAAACTTGATGAAACAGCCACTCTCAATGGAAAGTTTCATTCCATAGTTTCATAGACATTTAATTCTCTGACTCATAAAGAGTTGGTAACTGTGCCAAGAGAGTTTCATCCCCACGAAGCCCGATTCTTCTCTTTCTTCATTAAAATGTTGCCATGTCATCAAAAGTGCATATGTGGCAGGTTATTAAATGCAAATGAAACTGTTGCCATGTCATCAAAAGTGCATATGTGGCAGGTTATTAAATGCAAATGAAACTCTTGTGAAACTCTCGGACTGGCCTAAATGGTTGTGTGATTGATTGCATGCCAAGGATGCTTTATATCAATGCTTGTTTTTTTGTCATCACTGTCTTCTGCTGGTGTAATCTCCTAACTGAAACTAAAATCTTGAAATAGTAGCGGAGTTTGAGGATGCTCTATATCAATGCATTTTTTGTCTTCACTGTCTTCTGATGTAATCTCAACTAACTGAAACTAAAATCTGGAAACCGTAATGTAGTTTGTCATAGGCTTGAATCTCATTGCTTTAACATTTTTTATGTTGTTGAGTTATCCTTGTTGAAGTAAGCTTTTAATTCTTTACAGGCTGAGGATGATGATGACCTTGATCTTTTCGGGGATGAAACCGAGGAGGACAAGAAGGCTGCTGATGAGCGTGCCGCTGCCAAGGCCTCATCCAAAAAGAAAGAAAGTATGCATAATTTTCAGTTAGGATAATTTTCAGTTAGGAGTGTTAACCTATATTGTTCCTTTTAATCACTTGGAATTGTTCCAGAAGTTTGACGTTTAGGTCTTGTTAGTGTTTCTTATAATCACTTGGAATTCTTGCAGAACTTTGACTTTTAGGTCTTGTTACTTATTTATGGCTTTACATATATTTACAGGTGGTAAATCCTCTATCCTTATGGATGTCAAACCATGGGACGATGAAACTGATATGAAGAAGCTGGAGGAGGCTGTTCGCAGTGTCCAGATGGAGGGTCTCACTTGGGGAGCATGTAAGTTACTTGTTTGTCTGCTTACTATGCTATGTCTGCTCACTATGCTATGCTACCGATTTGTCTGTATTAACCATTTGACATAAACTTGGAATACAACAAATCTTTTGTCTGTATTAACCATTTGACATAAACTTGGAATACAACAAATCTTTTGTCTGTATTAACCATTTGACATGAACTTGTGATACAGCAAAGCTTGTGCCTGTTGGATACGGCATCAAGAAGATGACTATTATGTTGACGATTGTCGACGATCTTGTGTCCGTCGACAGCCTAATTGAGGATCACCTTACGGAAGAGCCGATCAATGAGTACGTTCAGAGTTGCGACATTGTTGCTTTCAACAAGATCTAGAGTTCAGATGCTGAGATTGGGCAACGGCCGGCAGCGCTTAAAGTTTGTGCTGGGATGCGAGAATTTATCCCTTCTAGTTACCTTGTTATAGAAATGTTGGTTGGAGTTTATTGTTGAGTGCTGCCAGATTTTTGAATATCTGTTTATCTTGAAATAGCAGAACTGCTGGGCGATGTTATGTGTCTAAAGTTATGAGTTTACAATGGTTCTGCGTCTAAAGTTAATGAGTTCTCTTTGCAATGCTTAATTTTGATCGAGTCTTCTAATCTATACCAGCTGTGCTAAATGATGCGGGGTTTTAGTCCAAAATGGTGTTTTTTAATCCATCCTCGATATTATATCACTCGTATCGATATTGTATCTGTTTTTTAATCCATAAGTATTGTCTGTACTTGTATCCATATTATATCTGAAATTCACTCTACACATGGAGGACGATTCTCTGTTTCTTTATCCAAAATGATGGTTTAATCATAAGTCTTGGCTGTACTCGTATCCATGTTATATCTGAATCCACTTTACATATGGAAGACGATTCTTAGGTATATATGGAAGACGATGGTATATGGAACGCTAATGCTACTGTTAAGACGTCTGAAAGGTTGACTCCTCGCTTCACTCACTGCCGCATAAGCCGCTCGCCTAAAAAAACAAAATCAACTCCCACATGTCTTGCTCTGCTCCTGCCCTTACCCCTTCTGTGCTCCTCATCCCCTGCCGCAGCGCACTAACACCTGTCGTCCTCCACTACCGGGGGCCCCCAATGATCGTAGATCCGGCGGCCCTCTCCCCTACCCCAGACGACATCCATAGAGGTGGCGCGGCGGTGTTGCGAGGAGAGGGCTCTCCACCTTGGTGTGGCGCCCTCCCCACCCTCTCACCCGAGGGACCGAGCTCTCTCGACCCCGGCGGCCATGGCGCTCCTTGACCCCCATCCCCCACCGTCGCCGCCGAGCCAAGCCTGGTACTGGTGGTGGTGGTGCTCGTGCGTTGCCGGCTCTGACGCCGACGGCTGGAATCGACCGGCCTAGGCTTCCCCTCCCCTATGTTGGAAATGTATGCTTTAAGTGTTTCAGTCGTTTTAAATGTATGTTGCAGTTGTTTCTTATGGATGTTGCAAAAGTTGATCGGGGGATGTTGCACATGTTGTATATGTTGCACGTGTTTCAGAAGCATGTTGCAAGCGTTTGTTCAAAATGTTTCATCTGTTTCCAGACGTATGTTGCAATCATTTTTTATCTAGATGTTGCATATATTTTCACACATGTTGCAACAGTACGTTCCAAATGTTTCAACCATTTAAGTCTTATGTTACAATAAGTGTTTTTCTTGTTCCAATTGTTTTATCTAGATGTTGTATATGTTTCACACACATGTTGCAAGCTATGTCCCAAATGTTGCGTATGTTTCAAATGTATGTTGCATTCGAGTGTTTCATATTGTAAGTGCAGACCACCGGCGTTGGTGTCCATCAGGGTGGGCAGGGCCAAGTGCAGCCACCGACGTGTTGAGGAGGCGTAGGCCGCCGCCACCGGTGTGGGGAGGAGGCACAGGCTGCGCGGGTGCTGTCGTGGAAGAGGTTGGGGCGAGTCTTCCGGGCAGCCTGGAAGAGACGGGGCGCCGCGCCGGTGTGGAAGTGGCGGGGGCGAGTCATCCGAGCAGCGTGGGCAGCGGATCTGAAGCGAACGGTTCGGATGCGAGCGTGGAAACGGAGGGTGGCGCCCGAATCCGAGCGGACGGGCGAAGCAGCCGTGGGCGTCCTGACGTCCGGGCGCTAGTGCTGTCGTATATGGAAGATGATTCTCTGTTGGAATACGATGGTATATGCGCCACAATGGTTAGCAGTTTAGCATGGTCTAAAAAATAGACTTATAATGCACCATTTAACAAGTTTGGAAACGTGTGATGCACCATTTAACAAAATTAGGGACTCAGAATTATAATATTGCCTATCTCACAAAAGTAAATAGATTGCCGCAGTCCGTTCGAGGATAATATAATATGAATGGTATTTCGAGTGTCGTCAGTGTCTACAAGGATGCAAGTATGTAACCACCTTGGTAATGACTAACGATACATACTACCTCGCTCTGAAGTCTCAAGTAGAAGATGAAGGCAACCTGCGCAGGCCTATCCTCCCGTCGCATGATTTGCCAACAGTTTCTTGCTATCTTGTATAAGAACAGGCGATCTCCATCCTCATCAAATCTGCAGAAAAGCTGGACAGTGATTCACTAAGCAGTGTTGCATTACTCTCTTTTATCTTTTTGAGTAGTGTCTGATTTCATTTGGGGCCCAATCAGTCAACCACCGCTCTCAGCCCACGGAAGGAAATCCCGACCCGTCCTCTGGGGCCCTGCCCATGCGGCCCAACCAGTTGTTCCCGTCGTCCTCCTCTAGCCCACCCGAACTCCTCCCGAAACCCCATCGCCGCCACTCCACGCCCGACCCGCCGTTCCCACCGCGCCGCGCTGCAACCAGCCGCCGTCCAGCTCCCTTCTGCCGCCTCCTCGCCTAGGGATACCACCGCTAGGAGCGCACGCACAGGCACCTCCTCCCCACCGCCTGCCGCCCTGAGTCAGTTAGCCATGGCGGAGCCCACCGAGAGAGACCAGTTCACGGATGAGGAGGAAGATGACTTCCTGGAGGACGGCGTGCAGAGCCTTGGAAGCGAGGACGAGAATGAAAGAGGGGAAGGAGCGGGGGGCAAGAGGAAGCGGCTGGGGAATAGCCTGGGCGGGATCGGTAAGCGTGGGGTGTGCTACCTCAGCCGCGTCCCGCCGCACATGAACCCGTCGCACATCCGCCAGATGCTCTCCAAGTACGGCGAGGTGCTCAGGATTTATCTCGTGCCTGAAGGTAACCAGCTACCTGAAATCGATGCTCGTGTTCTCTTCTGTTTTGGTGGGCGTAGGCGTAGCTAGCTGCAGAGCGTAGTGCATATTTCAGGAGCTTAATCCTATTGCGTGGTAGCCTTCATCGTCTGATGTGGTTGGATTATGGGGGAGACACTCAATTTTCATGTTGCTTGTGCTGCTTCCATTTGTGAAAATGTAGTTCTTGATAGTCTGATGTGGTTGGATTATGGGGGAGACACTCAATTTTCATGTTGCTTGTGCTGCTTCCATTTGTGAAAATGTAGTTCTTGATAGAGGAAAAATATCAACTTCAGTGCCTCATTGCATGGTGTTAATTGTGGTTTCCATACTAATGGAAGTGCATGTTGCCACAACAGTGCACTGATTTTCTTTTTTTCTTTCTTTGATGTGTTAGAACTTAGATGTCTGATTTAAGGGGAAAATCACTTCAGCTTCTCTTTATTGGCCATGTAACATAGCTTATTATTTTTCTCAATATATGACATTAAGAACTTAAAAATATAACCATATTAGTTTTTCAATGTTTGCTGATTAAAAGTCTCTTATATATTCATATATGTCATGCCCACCTTCAGGTCAAGGTCATCGGAAGCATACTACTGTTAAAGCGAAGGCTTACTCCGAAGGGTATGTTTCGACAGGACATACACACACAAAAGACAGATGCACTGCTTTGAAGAACTTTGCATTCCTCATCTGAAATATTACTCTAGAAGTAAAGCATGTGCAATATTCATACCAGCACCAGCTTTAGTGCATTTGTGAATAGTTTTACTGAAGCCTCCAAACATTTTCTATTGTTCTCTTCAATATTTGTACGTACTCATTCTGCTACCAAAATCTTTTAGGTGGATTGAATTTGCGAAGAAGAGTGTTGCCAAGAGAGTGGCTAATCTGCTTAATGGTGAACAGATAGGTGTGTTCTCGTTGCCATTTTATTCTTCTTTGCTATTATTGGTTGTTAGTTGTATGTATTATTATGTATGACCCCCCTGCTTTTTGCCGCCACATTTTTTACTCTTGTTGTTGACTGTCAGCCTGTTTGAAGGGGTATTAGATGTATAGTTCTTTCACGGAGATCATACTATATGTGCTTTAGAGCTTGTGTTTTACTTGGTAACCACTGGACAATAATCTCTGCTGATGTTGTACGTTATTAGGCGGGAAGAAGAGATCTCCATTTTATTATGACATTTGGAACATTAAATACCTCAGGAAGTTCAAATGGGATGATCTTGTTGGTGAAATGGGTATGTGAAAACTCCAAAATAGAAAACTTATTTAAACTTCTGGTGAAAGTTCTTGATGATTAGAAGAGGTTTCTAAGTTTTATAATCCTTTGAATATAATGCAGCTGAGAAAACTCATATCAGAGAGCAGAAATTAACCTTGGAGATAGCAGCAGCAAAGAAACAACGTGATCACTACCTGTCCAACATTGAAAAGTCTCGCGCATTGAAACACATTCAAGAGCGCAGGAAAAAGGTTCGCCGTATTTTGCATAGATATCAAAATTTTCTTGTGTTGCTGTTTATCTGTTGGCACTAGTCTGTATACTTGTTTGTGGCCCTTAATCCATACTCATATTAGAGCATTTTCTCATCGATTCTTTTTTTGTTTAATCCACAAATGAACAATCGCAAATGTAAAGTATCTGACCTCATTGTTCTATGGATTATGGTTGAACTTATTGTTTTGTGGTCGAATCATGTTTCCCTATCCTAGTCTCCTAGTAGAGGATGTAATTGCCAAGGAGTATACTGTCATAGTTGTCTAATACAATCTCTTGTGACTTGCCATCAAATTTTATAAACTTGTTATCCTTGACTGAAACAGAAGCAGAAGACGGAAGGAGCAGAAGGCAGTAATGTCCCAGAAACAAAAACTGCTCGTCCAATTCCTCAAAAGAAACCAGTTGGTGAGACGGATGCCAAAACTAAATCTACGCTTTCAAAAGACATTTTAGCTGGGGTAAGTTTCAGTTCTCATGGAAATGTGTCTCAAAATTCTTGTGTCCACCAGTTATTAACAAACCTCATGGTATTGCAGGTATTCGGGGGTTCATCATGACCACCTTCTATCTCTCAGTGTGGGTTGGTGCACGCCGAACTGAATGGAGTAGTGCAAGATCATAGAGCTCATTTCGTACTTCCAACTTTTGTAGATGAAGTCGCGTTTTTTGTTGTGGGTAAGTAGGAACTTTCAGAAACATTTTGTTCTGCTGATATGCCCTGGAAGGTTTTCTGGGACCTGGCGATTGAATGTGAAAGGACTGTTGATTGCCAGCGCCTGTTGACCGAAATCTTTGTAAAACTGAAACGCATGCTCTCTTGTAGTTGAAACAAATATCATGAGCAACTGTCATTGGCATTATCTCCTGCCTGGGATTTCAGTGCCTCAGCTTGCAGCTATGCTGTGTGCGCTAGAAGATGACGGAAGAGACACGAGGGAACATGGGCGGGTGGGATGAATAGATGGTGGGTGATTTCTTATTGCCGGAGGAACGGAACATGGTGCTGTGGTCATTAGATTTAGATCCAAGCTGGTGAAAGATAAGGTTGTGCAAGCTGACAACCATGGTCACCGAGTGGAGGCAAAAAAAAAAAAAAAAACCGTTGATACTGTTTCTCAACGTCATCTTGCGTGATCCCATCGACCCATAGTATACCTGAGAGGTAGGCTCGAACTAATATCCTTATCTCCTACAACTATAAAAACAAAATTAAGACAACCTAATGGTGCGATAATTTTTGGGATCGTTGCTAGGCCTCTCCCCTTGCGATCCCGCTGTCGCGTCGTCGGTCTGCCTCGCCCCTGCGATCCCCGCCTCCTGCTCGCGCGCAAGGAGGTAAAAACGGAAAGCCAATCACCTCGCCCAATCCCGCCCGATCCTCCAGCCAGCGCGCGATCATCTCCCCCAATCCGTGGCTCCAGCAACCGCCCTCCGCCCCCCCGCTTCATCTCCGCGCTCGCCCACGCCTGACGCCTCCTCTCCCTCCCTGCCCTCGCGCCGCCGCGTGGGATACGTGGAGGTCGCCGCCGGAGACGCCGCCGCGTGGGATAAGTGGAGGTCGCCACCGGAGACCACTCCGCGCCTGCACCGGCACCTCACCAAGTTGGACTGCCCCCGCCCTCGATCGTCGAACAGCTGCCGCAGGAGCTGCGGCAATCGTCGACGAGCGTCGCCGCCCTTCTCACCGCTGCGAGCGTCGCCGCCCGGGGCAACAGGACGAACCCCTACGCCCCGATCTCTCGCTCCGTCTCCCTCGGCTGGATCAACGTTGGGGCGGTTAGATCGACGCCGTCTCCAGCCAGATCGACGCCGTGGGCGCCCTCCGATCCCGTCGACGCGCCGCCCCCTTCATCTCCCCTGGCTTGACCAGCATTGGGGTGGACGGATCGGTGCCGCCCCTAGCCACATCGACACAGTCGCCCTCCAGTTGACGCGCCGCCCCCTTCGCCTCCCCCAGCTGGATCAGCGTTGTGGCAATCGGATCGATGCCATCGCCAGTCGGATCGACGCCTTGGCCGCCCTCCCGTGGACGCGCCACCACATTCGCGTACGTGTTCATCTCCTGGCTCCCTCTCCCTTCTTATGCATTTTGAATTTCAGGATTGAGCATTTGTCTGCTTAATTTGATTTCAAGAACTAGCCGGATCGTCGAGTGCTGTGGTTTTCTCAGTTTGAGTTTGCTGTCTGATGGGTTTGTCGGTGCCGGTGTTGCAGAGATTGTGGCGGCGATGTCCATCGCGAGGCCACGGGCGGATGTCACCTACTGCATCCATGCGCTTGCCCGGCGATTCGCCAAAACCAGGAACTGGATTGTAAGCACTGCTGCACTCCGGTTCAGATTATTTTGATTCGTTCTGTGTATTCGATGCTCTGATGGTTGCTTTAGCTGCTAAATTGGTGCCGATCTTGTAATGGTATTGGGTGATCGATGAGTCTCGAATGCAATTTCGTTTGTTAAAAAATGTGATCACACTGTGGAATTGAATGCAGACAAATGCTCAATCGTCAAATGCCCAAGTTTCATGCAGTTAGTGAGGATGCAGTGCTATTGATTTGGGAACCTGAACCTTGGTCATTGCACACTTGAGAGCTCGAGCTCATATGTATAGTTATGTAATAGTATATCATGTTGAGTCTGGAATCGCAAAACAAGTTATACCTTTATAATCCGTGCTTTTGGTGGCTTGAGTGTATATGTACCAGTTAATTTGGACATGGGAACAAAAAACAGAAAGAGACGCAACTGAGGATTTTGTTATTTACTGCTGCAATCAAGATATTATACATCCAAGTTGAAATTTCTTTGCATTAGCATAATAAGCTTGTTTACAGAAGCACAGTGAAAATTATACATTTAACACAATTCTTCACTTTTTGTGGTCGCTTTTATTTGAACTGAGAATTCATGATTTAAATTGTGGGGTTCCTTCTTTTCTGTTCATTGTCTGAAGCCCGTTTGACACCCTGTAGTGTTATGTCCTTGGATTAAACTCTTTTTTCTAATGGTTAATTTTTTGTCTTGCCTAAATTGTATGATGGAGTTCAGTTGAGATGGCACAACCCAACGCTTGAATAGGTATAATTTGAACAATTAATGAGTTCTTGTGTTATGTAGGTTGCTCTGAAGACACTTGTAGTGATCCATAGGCTTCTTCGGGAAGGTGATCCTGCATTCCGCGAAGAGTTTCTAACATTTACTCAGAGAGTGCAGATTTTGCAGTTGTCAAACTTCAAGGATGATTCCAGCCCAGTTGGTCTGTATTTCTTCAATTTAATTTAACCTGATGTTTTATTTGGATCGTTAATATTCTTTCATATTTTCTTCTTATCTATTGTCTTTATATTTCGGAATTATATCCAGCTTGGGATTATTCTTCATGGGTTCGCACATAGGGTTTGTTTTTGGAGGAAAAACCTGAATGCTTCAGGGTCTTGAAGTGTGACATTGTAGCTGAGCGTTTATCAAAGCAAGGTCAAGGACCTGAAAAGGTCTGGACTCTGACATGCTCATCCACTATTTTTATTTTTATTTCAAGGGGATATTCAAAGTTGTACTAATTACCGGGGAATTAAGTTGATGAGCCATACTATAAAGCTATGAGAGAGAGTTATCGAGCATCGCTTGAGGGTCTCTATGAACCAATTTGGTTTCATGCCCAGAAGGTCAACCATGGAAGCCATTTTCTTAATAAGACAAGTTATGGAGCGGTATAGGGAGAAGAAGAATGACCTACACATGGTTTTTATTGACTTGGAGAAGGTTTATAATAAAATACCAAGGAATATTATGTGGTGGGTGTAAGGGACCGTGATGCCTAAGAGGGGAGAGGGTGAATTAGGCGACTTAAAAATCTAACTCCAAACTATGGTCTCTTTTTCTAATCCTAGCAAAACCTATGCAAGAGATAAAACTATCTAAATGTGCAACTACGATTTTGCTAGTGTATTGCTATCTCTACCACAAAAGGAGTAATGTAATCAATGTAAATGCAGAAGCTAAAGAGCAAGGTAGAGATATACAAACTCCCGTCGATGACTCCGGTATTTTTACCGAGGTATCAAGAAGCGCGCAAGCTTCCTCCTAGTCCTCGTTGGAGCCCCTCGCAAGGAATCCCTCGCAAGGGCCAAGCTCCCGGTCGGGTAACTCCGTGGATAGCCTCGGGCTTTCCCCACGCGCAAGTGGGTCTCCGACGTGCCTTTCGACAAGCCTCTCCCGGATGCTTCCCGCCGTCTTCACTGTCAAGTTTTCGGCCGAAACGTCGCGGGCCTTGTTCCCTCCGGTACACGGTGGCGGCCACACCACAAACACAGTTGGTGTGATCTTGCAAGACTACAAGCCCCTCCGATGTACAACAATGGTGCGCGCAAGCACCGAGTAGTAAGAGGTATGCAAACCTCACTAAACACTAGGCTTAAACCTAGAGCAAGCGCATAAGCGGTGGTCTAATCAATCTAAGCACTTCACAAAGCACCTACGCTAATCACCTAATGAATCACTAAGCACTATGCAAGTGGATATCACTAAAATGATGTATCAACACCCTTGGTATGTTTCCTTAGCTCCACACCTCTCATTTGGCCGATTGGGGGTTGTATTTATAAGCCCGCTGAGAAAGTAGCCGTTGGGAACGAAATCCTGTTTTTCTGCTACTGACTGGACGCTGATTACGTCCTGACCGGACACGTCCGGTCGTCCCGACCGTTGGAGCCGCGATCCACTGATCGGACGCTGCCGCCGATCACATGCCATCGGACGCGTCCGGTCGCATTTTCGCCGCTCTGGAACCTTTTTGTACTCGACCGGACTCTGCTGTCCTACGTCTGATCGATCTGCCGCCAGCGTCCTTTCCAGCGTCTGGTCACTACTTCTGTCGAGCCTCTTGATCGGGCGTCCGGTCATTGTGCTACCAGCGTCCGGTCACTTCTGCGAGCTCGTTTCTTCGCGATCTTGCGTACGGCTTGGTTCCTATCTTCATGCTTGGACTTTGCTTGATATCTTGGGTCTTCTTTTGTGCTTCTAAGGTCTTGCTTATGGTGTTGATCATCGGATCATCACCTCGCCTTCGTCCAAGTCACGTCTTGCATCCTATTGAACTACAAAACAATCACTTGCAAATTCATTAGTCCAATTTGGTTGTGTTGATCATCAAACACCAAAATTCAAAGTAAATGGGCCAAGGGTCCATTTTTCTTATAGTGGGCTTTGGACAGACATAAAGTTCCAACGAAGTACGTCGAGCTCATTAAGGACATGTACAACAATGTTGTGACTAGTGTTCAAACAAGTGATGGAGACACGAATGACTTCTCGATTAGGATATGACTACATCAAGGGTCGGCTTTGAGCCCTTATCTGTTTGCCTTAGCGATGGATGAGGTCACAAGGGACATATAAGGGGACATCCCTTGGTGTATGCTTTTTGCGGACGATGTGGTGCTAGTTGATGAAAGTCGGACATGAGTGAATCAGAAACTAGAGTTATGGCGGGAGACTTTAGAGTTCAAAGGTTTTAGACTCAGTAGAACTAAAACTGAGTATATGAGATATGACTTCGAC